CTGGATGGCCTACCTGCCTGTCAGCCTTCCATCTGTGCACAGACTTATCTCGTGCCCTCATTGGTCATGTGTGCGTTCGTGTGTGTTGGAGGAGGGGCCCTGTAAGGAAGTCTGAAGGAAGGGGCAGATTGTTTTCGGCTGTGTACTTTCAAATTCTAGCGCACTCGAGCTGGTTTCTCCATTCTTACCTACCCTACCTTTAAGGCATTAAGTTTGTTTAAATCATCTAATTCTAGAGATATGTTCTGTATCGGTTTGTTCCAACTCTTGATAAATATATGATGGCTAGTGAAATAATCCAACCCAAGAACCCTTCAATTCATCAAATGCTAATTTTCAACATGACTTGTTGTGCATCATCTCAAAAGTTGACAACGGCTGTAGTCAATCAATACAGTATAAATTAGAATTAATGTCTGTGTGTTTGATTGTTTCAATAAACATTTTATAAGTACTTACCCACTGACAGGCAGCTGCTTTTATGGGAGTAGACCTCTAAATGCCTTTTGCCTCAAACAATTCTTTATCAAATAAACAGTGGGTTTAAATATCTTACTTAACACTTCAGTTGTTCTGGTTAACAGTTAACTTTTTGTGCCAATACTCCCATTATACAAACACTTAACAATCTGCCCTTGGACATGTTCTGGATAATTGTATCTTGCCCCAGCTGGAGAATCCTGAACACATGCTGTCAGCCATCTGCTGATAATGCACGTGAGACAGGCTGTCACAACAATGATGCCTCTTAAAATATATAGGCTGCATCACAAACATTATCTATGCTAAATTATACATAATCTACTTACTCATTAGCTTCCATGGTCTTCCTCTCTATAGCAGAGGACATGTCTCAGATGTGATGTCCAGCTGGAGTCCACACCTGTGCAGCTGAATCAAAGACACTTGCTCCTACAGTCTCCAAGACGCCGGTTCAGCCCTTTATTTTTGTTAAATGAACACACAGTCCTGCAGAAATGGCCGAAGACAAAACAATTTCGCTCTGAGCAGCTAAGCGATGATGGAGGACACTGTCATCATTTCCTGAGGCGATCACCCGCGCTGACACTTGCATGACTCTCAAGTCTCATCCTGCAGCGACTTCTCACACTGTCAATGAAAACGGCAACAATCGGATCTAAAATGTCACTTGTGATGATCTCCGTGTGGGTGCGTGTTTTTAAGTGATCGGGCTGCAGAGACGCTCCTCCTCCGGTCCCCGTTACTGAGAGGCAGCAGCATCGTGTTTAAATACGTCGGGCCCCTCGCTCTCTGCTTTCGTTTCCCTCTTCCTGCTCACGACTGTTTGACAATGGGGGGAAATCAGTCTTAAAGCGACAGCTAAACCCGGTTGGTCTGTCCGGAGGGGGGGTTGGGTCGTGACTGAGACTAATTAGTTCATTATTTGCTTTGCTAATGCAACGTGCCGATGGGTCAAATGATAACGAGTGGCATGATTAGTAGGCTACATGCCACTCGTGTATTTTCTCGGTAATTACAGTGCCACTCATTACTTTCCCTAGAAAAACAGCAATTCAGATGATAGACTTTTAGTCTGGCCTACCACTTTCTAATACATATTCATTTTGTTGCAAACAATGTCTCAATATATGTAATTTACTCGGAAACGTATGACTTCAAACTTATACTGAAAGTAAAAATCATTAGTAACTTTGATTTTAAATAGAAAACACGTGTTTAACTTTATTTACTGCAGCATCAGGTCTAAAACCACCAGACTGAGGGACAGTTTCATCCCATAGGACTGTTAAACTCTTGAAAGAACATATAACATTCATCTGTTTGCAACTCACATATTTCATATTGGCCTAATATCAATATTCCAATTACTGACTATTCTGCACAGTTTCTATCATATTCTTTTTCTATTATATTTTATTTTATTTACTTGTACTATTTTATCTGTTTTTTTGTGTTGCACTGTTGGAGGAGCCTGTGACCTAAGATTTTCAATGTCATAACTACACTGTAGCTATTCACACATGACAATAAAAGCCTTGAAACTTGAATTTTAAGCACGACCACACAGTTTTCACACAGGTGGTTTATTTTTACCTGAAATGTGCTTGAGAGAGATAAATAACATGAAAAGGTACAATAACGTATATACTGTGTGTATACAGTTTAATCCGTTTTTTTTAGTTCATTAGTTACATTCTACCACTGTTAAGATCAGTTTCCAAATATATAATTATTCCGCCTCTATAAGTTTAACTTATTTTTCAGAACTCTTGTATTACAGGATTGGCCTACAAACAGGTAAACTGATCGAGAAGAGAAGATAAATTATATTAAACAACCCCAAAATAAGATAGTTTTTATGTTGTCTCTGTAAGAAAGAAATGAAATGATATTTCTACATAGTTTTTGTTCTCACAGCCTTTCCTTTTCAAACCAGAGCTGCTGTGGGCTCTTCCTCTTATCTGCTGCCAAGGCCTCTGGAGGGAGGGACACAGACAGCAGTTGGACTGGGCAGAGAGATAAAGCACCTCCAGCAGCCACAGTCAGACACTCAACCAGATGCAACCGAGGAAGATTGCAGGAAAACTCTAACGTCAGGCTCAATGCATCCCTGGGCTAGACAGTGGTTGAGCGGTGTGGGCTCTCTGGACAGGTACCAAGCAGAGAGGGCCCAGGAGCAAGGTGAGCATGCTGTGCTGTGCCAACACACAGAAAGCAGAGCAGCTTAGAGATAAAACTCTGAATACATATCCTCCAAACGAAAAACCTTTCAAGGTTTTCTCGTACTGTCTCAACACAACAGCACAGTGCAAGAGCTCTGGTTGCTCTGGTTGTTTATAGTTCTAACTAAATAAAAATGCCACAATCTTGAACCCTAACATCCCCATTTTAACTTCTCCAATAGAGAACTCACCTCAATGTCCACTCTTCTTCTTCTGATCTTAAGCTTTTCATTACGTTACAAAACCTCCCTTAGTGGAAGCAAATTGCCCATTTTTCATGGAGATGTTCAAATACCAATTTTTGTATTAGCTTTTTAAGGACCTCGTGTACATATTGGCTTAGAACTGTATATTTGTAGTTCATTTTTTCCCTAGATGGTCTTCTGGAGCTTTAAGTGGTATCACACTGTTTTACTCAGTTTCAATTGTTAGCCAAGCCGTGCTCATAAAAAGGCTAATATGAATGTCTACAAGATATTTCATAATTATTATACATCCACTAAGAAAAATTAGCTAAGGAATGGATCTTGTGGAGAGTTTTTTTTTACTGCTGTTTCTAAGTTAATAATGAACTTACAATGTAAATGTCCCTAAATAAAAGAAGATAAAACAGCAAGATTTTGATCACATGGCATATGTGCTTTTGAGAGCACTGAAGCTATACCACCCTTCATCATTATCAACAGTATTTTGTACGATTGCATTAAATGTATTTTTGCATAATTCCTTGTTGAAATTCAGCTTGACATATTAAGTAGTCCTAGAATTGTTGGCATCTTAACAGTGTTTGTTTGCACAGAAGTCTTCGTACACGTAACACAACTGTGGTGTTTGAAAAGCTTATTCAAAAGTACACATTGGTACCATGAACCTCCACACTGTCATGTGATTGCAAGGCTGAAGAACACATTTATGATAGATGAGAAACAAGAAAAGAGAAAGTCAGTTCTGATAAGACACCCAAGTCATCCACTACTTCCTGTGGAGTTGACTGAGAAGGCCCAGAGGATGTGCAACTGGCAGCAGAGATGGAGCTTTCCTGGGGGGTTGGTGCACACTGCCTTCACTTCCTACCCACTCCCTCCCATGCATGATGGCACCACTCTCAATGCCTCTCAGATAGACGGGTCGGCTCCAGATGGTTCAGTATGATACGAGTCACACGGCTTACAGCGCACCATAAAAACATGCTTGTTTTCATTAAGCGGTAAACCCTTATCTCTGTTTTTAGGCTTCCTAAATGTCACCGGAAAGGTGGTGCAAGTGTCATGTTTCAATTCTAAAATGTCTAAATATTTAATATGTAATGTTATGTCATGGGCCACACGTGCACACGATCAGTTTTTCCGTGTTGATCATCTATAACTAACTATTATTTATATCTAAGGTAGAATTTGGGGAGCAAACGGTTAAGAGTGTAGACAACCTTTTGGGAAGTGGAGTCACTCATGTCCAGCTTCCTGTTTTGCCTGTTTGGTACTGAGAGCATTATGGAGTTGAAAGCAGTGTGGAATTTGAGGGCAGCTGGAAAGTGAGCATCAGCACTAAGCAACAGATTCACACTAAAGAGCTATTCCTCATCATTCAACAAATATTGTGGATTTGTTACAAGTTTGTCTACTAAATATCAAAGTATAACACAGCTTTTGAAGGATGTACAACCAATATCCACCATCTTGCTGACTCATTAGAGATCTTAAAAGATCTCCTAAATATTAGTGGAACAAAGATGTTAATCCATACATCATGGACTATTTGGCCCAAATTTGCAGGCCATTTCCTGGTTTAAGGGGACTCTGTACATATTGTTGACAATTTGATAGCATAAAGGCTGTAACAGCAATAGCAAAGCTGACCACTTCCTGCTTAATCTGAAGTGAAGTGATAACTGGCAACTGGTTTAAAGCTCTTCTCCCACGGATCTTCAAAGGTGGAAATGTTACTACATGGGTTTCACTAAGAGTCTCAAACGGCGGGATTCATTGTACATTCTAAAATGCCATGTTGTAAAGGTCAGAGGTCAGACGAGGAAACACCCTGGAATTCTTTATAAAATGGCTGGTGTACTGTGTTCAGTGTTGTTGTTTGATTGAAATACAGCAGGCTGCGGAAATTAGTCACTCATTGAAAGGGAGCTTCACTTACCCTTGGGATCCTCCCATAATCAGTATTATCCCTAAAAGAAAACACTTTCAGTGGAACAGTGCAATCAAAACACTGTGCAGCCATGTTAACTGCTTCCTGTATTCGGTAAAACAAAAGAAAGCTGGTCTCACATTCTTCTTGCTCCCTTTTTAAATACTGATGGAAAGTCTGTGCTCAGAAATGAAGAAAAAAAAACTGAAAAGCATATAAGCAGCTCCACATATATTAGAAAAGTAAGATAATCAAATATGCTTACACTTGGTTTTAACATACATGTATGACTTGTGTGTGCTGTGTGTGTGTGTGTGTGTGTAGTAAGCAATTAATTGTACCTTATAATGGTACATTTGTAAATGAGTTTATAAAACATTTGCAGAATTTCCACACATATCAGGGCTAGGGGATGTGCATAAACTAAACCTAATCTGTGAGTACAGTTTCACTCTTTCAGTGTTTGTCATATTACTGAGCTTCACTGCCACCTAATGGTGTACCATGGCAACCTACCAGAATCAGTTTGGCTCTTCCATTTATTCAAGTGCTGACAAAAACCCTCATACAATATAATTTCACATCAGGATTGAATGGTTTTTCTTTTATTAAAGTTTACATCAGAGTTTATTAACTTGAAGTCAAGAAAACAGAGATGCCGATGGATTTGTGCTTGTAAAACATGCAGATTGAAATGTGTTTGTTATGTTCTAAACTTGAACAATGGATTAGGGAATACTGCACATCAAGACTTCCATAACATATATTTGGAGCTAATCTTAGTTCTTGAAAATGCAATGCAAAATGTAATCTCTACTGATATTTGGCCTACTTGTTAATTTGACACCTTAACATGCTTAAGTCAAACTAGGAAAGCCCTGTCAACTGCAGCTCTTCAATATACAATTCTATGTTTACTATTGCAGGTTCTGTCAGTGTAAGGTGTAATGTATATGTATTGTATACATAAAGTGTTACAAGTTGGGCTCTTATTTCCCCCGCATGGTGTGGGATTTCACACTGGCAACTTTGCAAGCGGAGTCTTTTTGTGGTAAATGTTGCCTTCATTTTTCCTTTTACTACATGAATGCATTTCTCCAGTAGGGGCAGAACTCAAACGGCCCTACATCTTTCTGACTCTCACTTTCCGTTCATTTGTGTGGTCCTAGGGCCTAGAGCTTACAAATGCATTTAATGTATCTTTATTATTCATGGACTATCATTTTACAATATATATAGTTGGATTATAGTATCATTCTGGATGTGTACTTTGGATCTGATTGTTGTACAACCAGCAATCTAATATTTCTCAAATAAGTTATTAAACCTTAACCAATAAGTGTAAATGACAAGCATCTTCAGAAAAAAAAACAGCCACTGAACTTGAACTTCAAAATGACGTGCAAAAGATAGCAAAGTCTTGTATTACCATGTATAGCTGCAGAAAGAAACACTGTATATGTTTATATGGCACATGGATAGGGCCTTTACAATGTAAATTGTTTATAATGTACAGTTTATGGTATAGTATAGATATGCATAATCAAAGCTAATGATTGTGCAGGTTTCCTGCCAAGAGGCTGTTGACTATTTTGCCTGACTACAAATATCAAATCCTTATGTTTAAATGTGACAAGGTTGATCATTTATTAAATATTCAAATTGATATTTGTATGTTATATTTGAAAGTGAGGTTATTATTAATCCTACCTTCTTTTGGGATTTAGTATTTATGGTTTATATATGCAGGCATGTCTTTGACGCCTAAAGACGGAGCTTCGCCTTTATAAAGAGTTTCTCCGTCTTTCGCACCGTCTCAGTTGTCGGTGAGGCCGGCGGGGCGGATCCCACACTAGAGTAAAAGAGAAAATAAAGCAACACAACAACAATAATAACAACTTGGCCGTTTCCTACATTTCACTAGCAAGCTCCCCTCTGGATACATACCATAAAGGTGGGTATATCTTCAGTCCTGTTGCCTGGGGAACGCGGCTCCCGGCCGGCTGCTGGTTAGCACGCGTCGCCGAAGCTACAAGAAAACCGAGCTAGCAATGCGTGAAGATGCTAACGTTAAGTCAACGGTCTGTGCTAACGGTGGTGTGGAGGGCCATTTTACCAGACCTCAGATAACACCGGCGACCTGACCGTATGTCGGGGCTGACTGGTCCAAGGAGCTGGGAGCCGAAGATACAGCTGTGTAGCTGCAGCTATAGGGGAAATAATTAGGTTAACTAAGGAGAAATGTGGGGTTCAAAGAGTAGGACTAAAGTTAGCCAGTTGCTGTGATGAATGGGTTTCTGAGGATGAGGGATATACTGGAACTTGTATAGTTTTTTATTCGGAAGCTTAATTACATATGTATAACCAGCGTCAGAAATACATATGTGATTGTGCCTCCAAATCTGAAACACTGGCAACATCGACCTAAATTGTTCTGTAAAAATTATTAATGTATTGTTTTACCAGTCATACGTTACTGTAACGTTACTGTTTTGTTCGTGCTATTAAATCCCACCTCAATCACTTGTATTACTTGAGTTATTCCATTCGTTAAAATGTTTGCTATCTTAATACACAGGAAATCTCTGTGATATTTGAGTCGTGGGTTCTTTGTCATTCACTTTATCTAGGCCCACTGTATCATGCAATCTAACATTACTTCATGTAACACTTACAGTTAGTTAACTCATTGATTAATCAGGACACTTTTGATAAACAATCACAATCAATTGGGCTTTTCTTTATTTTTGTTTTCATTTCAAACTGTTCCCTTTAGATTTTGGACTGTTTGAGTTTTTGATTTTTAACAATTGTATCTACAGTGTTGACATTTTACATATCATGCTGATTACACTTATGTCAAACGAATCCTTTGTCCATGAATTTAAGTTATTTCTAAATAGATGTAAGTTGATTTTTCACATTTTTTTCTATAGATGCCCTCAGCGATGAATGCAAACGGGACCGTGCAGTCTGCCAGCCCAGATGTGGGATCCGCTCCAGGGTCAATGGGTAATTTTGCTGGACAGCCTGAAGTCATGAAGCAAGTGCTTTGTGTACTCGACAAGAAGGTCCGCAACATGGAGAAGAAAAAGGTGAAGCTTTTGTTCCAGACACTTCCTCATAACAACATGTGGACATGCTGTTGTGGCATGACATGTGTCTCACTCAGAAGCAATCTGTAACTGATATCTGAAGTGCCCTTGAAATACTAAATCACTGACGAGAAGATTATCTTTACTTTTAATATGTACTAACATATTAAGAATTTGCTGCATTTTGGATCTTCTGTTACAGAGTAAACTGGACGACTATCAAGTCAGGAAGGAAAAAGGGGAAAATCTGAATCAGGACCAGCTGGTGGGTGCACTGAAGCCTTATCATTCTGTACATTAGCACGAATAATCCTGTCATTCTTACAAGTCCTTTTTCCTTTGCGTTTTATTAGGAGGCCCTCTCCAAATTCCAGGAAATCATGCATAACTTAGAATTCGGCCGAGATTTGCAGAAGACGTTCATGACACTGGGACAAGATGTAAGTATGACTTTTTTAGTTTTTTTTTTTTATTAAACCTCAAGAGTGATGCTGGACCTGACTTATAGTAACTTTTGTGGCTCATGTATATTATCATTAGATCCAGAAGGCGGTGAAAAAGACTGTGCGGAGGGAACAGCTTCAGCGGGAGGAGGCCGAGCAGAAGCGGCTGAAGACGATTCTGGAGCTGCAGTTCCTGCTGGACCGGCTGGGAGAGGACGCGGTGCGGCAGGACCTGAAGCAGGGCGTCAGCGGGTCACTGCTGACGGATGCAGACCTCGCATCTTTTGATGAGTTCTATAAACTGGTGGGGCCAGACCGTGACCAAAGCATCAGGTAGAACTGAGGCATTGATATCTAGATAGAGTTAATATGAAAAAAGCTTTTTTTGGTTGTTGTAAACAAGAGAATCTGTATCTTATCACTTGCAGGTTGGTTGACCAGTACGAAGAAGCATCGGTGCACCTCTGGGATCTGCTGGACGGGAGAGACAAGGCTGTGGTTGGAACAACGTGTAAGTGCCATTTAACTTGGAGCCTATGATTGTTTGCGAGCAGAAGACCTTGATATTTTTGTTAATGATTGCTCAGGCTATCTATTTCGAGCACACCCAATTTAGCAGCTCAAATGTTCTGTATCTTCAAACAGAAAAGGAACTTCATTGATAATCAGTTAATCATTAACTATATTTTACGATGATGGTGATATAACATCCGCGGCAAAAACAAGCAATCTGAAGACATTCATTCAAAGTAATAACAAGTAGCGGCCCTATTGAAAGGTCAAATATTAAGTTAGCATAAAAAGGGATGCATTATTTAAGTAATACTCGCTTTATTAAGATTCCTAGCTGGTGATGAAAATTGTTGGCAGAACATTTAGTCAGACGGTTGGTGACACAGCAGTCGTTAGCAAGACTCTCCTTGTGATGAAACTGTCCGTAAGTAATTTCTTGGAAACGTTCAAGTAATCCCAAGATAAGTGAGTTAAAATTGTCAAACGCTCTGAACAAGACCTTCTTGTTATAAAGTACTGTAGGCTCTATGTTAATGTAGCCCAGTATATGTTGTATTTTGTGAATGCAGCATGTGTGCAGTGTTCTGATGTGAGTAATCAGGCCTTGGGGATATTGATGTTCTGCATTCTCAGCGCTCTGTCCTCTGGGCTGCTGCATTCTGCTGTGGGCCGAGCCTGAGGGCTGCTCCTGACTCAGCAGCGGGGGGAGGCAGGGTGCCAGTGGCATGTGGTTCCACTGGTCAGATCTCCGGAGCCACATTAGGATACTTGTGACCCAGTTCACTGTAGTGACACCAGCCAAGGCTTTCCCCTCAGTGAGGAGGTCTTACTCAGTGACTCAGGGTGATTCTTTTTAAGGCAGCAACAGACAACTTGGCCTGAAGCATGAGGCCATGGAGGAAGTAACACTGACCTGCTCTTCCTGAACAGCTAAACGTGGAAATGCCTGAGCTAGCTTAAAGGCTTGATGGGTTTTCTAGTGAATGAATTAATGGTTGTCGAATGACTTGGTATTGATTGTTAAAGTAGCATATTTCTTATCGATTTAGTCAGCCATTAAGAACATTTAGGCCCTGGATTTCTTTGATCATAAATGACTTTTTGGTTAATCTTTTGACTCTTCCAGTATGGAGATCTGGCCCTGAAAAATATGTTTCAATCTGTCTTGCATGTAGGCCTGTCACGATAATTAATTTTGTTGGACGATAAATCTTTCTGGAAATTATTGCGATAAACGATAATATTGTCGGCAACGTTTTAAGACCATTTTAGACATAATGATAATATATAATAATAATTCAAGTACATCCTTTCAAACATAACTTTTTATTGAACATTCAACATTGCAAATGAAATGTGAAATAATATAAAATATATAAATGATATATAATAAATAAAACAAATTAATTAAATTATAATAAATTAATTAAATCACACACAACCAAAACAATAAATTAAATAGAGTCAGTCTGGAAAACAGAGCTCTCTCTCTCATATATATATATAAATAAATAAATAAATAAATAATATGAGCACACATTATCTCACAAGCAAAAAAAACCTCCTTAAAAAAACAGTCAAGTGTACAGTCCACTGTCCATACAAAGACCCAGATGCCTCA